AAACACCAGTATTAAGTCCTATTAATAAATAATGTCCAAGTAGACAATTAACAATAATGTTTTTATGTAAATCACTTAGAAATTATGTGAAATTTTATAAATATTGTAATATCGACGCGGATGATGCGTTGATCCATCTGAAAAACTGTGGCAGCCATCTTGAAGTTTCTGTTCGGAACTTTCGAACTTCGCTCCAATACTGCTGCAGCTGATAACTTGTTATGGACATTCAGATGTTTGTAGCAATACTTATCTCTCAAGGCGTTACCATGCATAAGCAATAAATAGAATTTCCCACTTCCGCAGATATCTGGGACTTTTATTACTTTCGAAAAGTTTTGTGTCAAATTGCGCTTGCATATTGATATCCTTACGATTCAAACATGGTTTATTCAATGTGTATGGGCGAGAAAAAAATGATTAAAATTTCCTTAGTAAGAAGATGGAAGTACTGTAAATTCATTTATCTTGAAGTATGTAATAAGAAATTAAAATCTTTCATTTAGACGTTATCACTGATCGATTTTGTTTCTATATACTACAAAGAAAGGGAAAATTTACGCTACTGCATGACAATGTTGGCGAGAGCGAAAAACTATGATTGATTTTGTAGTAATTAAAGTTAACATTTTCATTAACCTTTCCTTCAAATGTTGACTTAATTAGAAGTCAACATTTGGAGGAAAGTTTTATGAAAACGTTTACTTAAATTCTGTACTTCAAAATCGAACTTTTAGAAAAGAATTAATGAAATTTTGAATGAAATATTTCCAATTAAATATCTTCTAAAGGTTGATTTTAATTCAATTTAAAGTCGAAGTTTTCTTATATTTTTCTTCTAAAGTTTGACGATACCTATAGCTTTTGCCTTTAAAACTTATTAAATTATTTTCCAAATGTTGATTTAGTGATAATACTACTAAACATTAGCATTTGATCGTGGGTTCGCACCTCAGCAAGGGGCTGTCCACTACTTAACTGAGTATAGTGTTTATAAAGTTATTATTATTGAAAATACAGGGCGACCTGAAAGTTAATTAACCATTGAAAAGTCAAAATTTTTATTTTATAAAAATGCTTTTATTGTTTACAAATTTTAAATAATTATTGAAACTAATACAGTATATTTATATTGTTCAATACACGAACTGCAAATTCAATTTATTGTGTATATTCACGTGTATAACTGGAATTTACAAAGTAAAACGCGGTTAAATGACTTTTGGGTTACCCTGAACTGTGTTCGAATTTGTATAAACTCTTAAGTGAAATGTTTGTCCTTTTTTCATATGTAGGACTTACCACGTGATATAATTGCAATCACGAACTTTTATCCAGAATATGTTCTTGGCTTCTTCAAAACACAAAATGGCAACATTAACATCTTGACAGGATATAATGGACATTCGGAAGAAAACATGGAAAGGAGTGATGAAACTAAGACAATACGACTTTTATTGCGGTTGGATGCTCGATGTCGTAAGTATCTTATTAAAACTTTAGCAAAATGCCCACCAGTGTCCAATGGTTGGCATATTATTGATGTTTTAATTGAATGCGAGTAGTGGGTTTGTGTGTCACCAATGGCTGAATACGTGGAATGTTTCGGTTTGTCACGTGTCTAATATTCAAATAGCGGCCAGTTTTGTATAGAATGTTCTTCCCGGAAGGCATTTTGAGAAGAACATTTTATTTGTATTGTTATAGATTGGATGAATTTATAAGGATCGTGGCAAGATTCTGTTAATTCTCATTTCCACTATTTCGAGAGAATTCGTTTTGAAAGGTGGATCAAATCGCCAAATCACATCTAGTAACCACACGTGTATTTGCAAATTCTTTGTTATTAATTCAGTTTTCCTGAATGAAGGCGGTACTTGCAATAATTACAAAGAATTATGACACACATTGCAAGAAATCTTTACAGATGCACCGTATCAACATGTTCTGGCTTGGCTCTATTTTTACCGTAAAGAATAACTATCATCACATGTTATAGGTTGAATGTATGAGTTTTTCAGCATTTATTCGTAAGTTCCATTTAAAAATATCAGATTATTCGTTCGGCAATTAAATAAAAAACAAACAAACAAAATCATGGGCATCATCTATTACAGTATACAAATTAATATGAATATCAACTTATAACTTTAACAAAATAATTAGAATTACTTCAATTATAATAGAAAATTAATTTCATTTGTTAGAAACAAGTGCTCATATGTTGAAGGAACATCGGTCTAATTTTAGGAAAATCCAAGCAGCACAAACCTTAGTTTCACTTCTCTGTGGTTGAGACATCAGTCCCTAGCCTCGCTGACTGACGAATCTCTCGATAGAATATTTAAGTAAATAAGGGCCTACTTGTTTGTGATGGTACTGATTCTAATGTCTGATGGTTCACACAGCCTTTCTTGTAGAAAGTTTTGACTCAGGGCAAGACGAGGCTCTATGACATATCCGGCTATCTACTGGTTAGTTCTGCAAATTCTTCAAGCCTGTTGTGTTTATATGAAGCTGTCATGATTAGTTCAATTTGTCCAAAAGTGTAATTTGTTACTATCTCGGCTCAGTCCCTTTAATTTATCAGTAACACTACAATCGAGAACAAACACTTCATTTATAGTCAGAATATCTATAAATCATTCTGTCGACTTTAAAACATCTGTGAAATCAAGGACTCACCTTGTACGATTATTGCTTTAATAGCATAAAATAACCAACACTTAGGAGGCGATCTGCCAATTGATGATACCACCTGGGAGGACTTTCTACGGGAAACTGGTTTCTATTTAGATGGTACACACGCGAAGGAAAGTACGAAAGCTTCACGTAGCCAGTCCGTTTGTCGAATGGCCAAGCGGTCAAGGGGGCAGCCTACCCCTCTAGAGGACCCTAGTTCGAATCCGAACGAGTCGAAAAATCCCGAGGAATTTTTTGCTGGGTCGTCCGTTCGGATATGTTGGGCCCCGTCCCTCATTAGTTGGCAGCCCCCTTGTGGCCTGGCCGAGCCCATAATAGGCTTGAAAAAAAAGGCCCTCTTAGNCTGTACTACATGTTATATTTTAATTGTAAAAGTTGCTCTGGCAGCAATTATATATAATTAATATTTTGTATTTTAAATACTGTCATTTGTACGTTACTTTTGTTAATTTTATTACATTTATCTATTCACTCTCCATTCACTGTACAACTGATACATATGACTGTTCTGCAATGTAATTATTGTAAATGTGTAATTTCTGTACGTAACACCTGATTATGCTATGCGATATCAGGCATATAACAAAAGTTATGTTAATAAATTTAATGAAATGAAAAAATGAAAAGGTAACCCCGTATAACACAAGAGTTCGTTTCAAAAAATGGCCGTGTTATGCGAATCCGTGTTATATGAAACAAAGAACTAGTGCGAAAAGAGGGGTTAGGTTCCAAAAATTAAAAATCATGTTGTTAAATCCTTATTTAAATCGGATTTATTATTTATTTTTTTCATAGGTAAAATACGGAATTATTATTTAAGTAAATATTTTTCCAGAGGATTATTCATTTTATACGATGATCTCAGCATGAGCATCATCAACTGGTAACAGTTTTCTGGGTGCGTTCGTTAATAGCGGTCGCTCTGCAACGGGAGTGCGCTGCTGTTTGTAGGCATTTAGAAACGACGGTGAAAGAAAGATGGTGGCGCCCGTACTATCGATAGTATCGTGTGGAGGAATCTATAATTCTACAATGAGCTTTTAGAGGCAAAAGAAGTGTCCCAATTGTATAATTTAACCATTAAATAGATTATTTGTTGAAAGAGCATTCAAAGTAGCCACGAAAACAATTAGAATGCTCGTGCGGAGAAACGCGGAGGTAGAAAATAACGCACCCTTTATTACATTTCATGTTGTACGAGGGTTTTACCCAATTCCCGAACCGTATTAGAGTGAACCCGTGCTATAAAAGCACCGTGTTATACATGGGATGTTCCCAATTCTCGAACCGTGTTAGAGTGAATTCGTGCTATAGAAGTGCCGTGTTATACGGGTTACCTGTACTGCCATGACGCTCTTGTCTGTTCGCTACAACTATCAAGAATTAATGCGATTGGCGAAGCGTAGTGACAGCGGCCAATAGAGAGCAGGGTTCTTGCCATAATGCGATTTGCGCGCCAATTTTCGTACGTGCGTTAATCGAGTTGAATAGTTTGGCCGAATATTCGGCTATTCGGCCTGAGGCAGAATATACTATTCCTTGCAACACTACATTTAATGCATTTAAGGTCAGTAAGGAACTGCAAATATTCCTCTTTCAATTTGACACAACCTGTATACAAAATATTTTATAAATTAAAAATCATTAAAAATATTATTTGTGAAATTTGTATAAATTTACATAAATCCGCTTTTTAATCTTTTTGTGATTATGAAAGAAAAATTGTTGATTTATATTTTAAAAATATTGTTTTAGTTTATGAATTAACAAGAAACATTTACAGAGCATTTATTTTAAATTTGTAGGTATATATTTATTTATTTTTAATGATTTTTACATTGAAATGATTGACCTTTCGAACGTCGAGAATTGTCCTTTCGTGCTTATGTGGTGTTTATAACAATTTATGAAACGTACCAGACAAGTCTTTCTGAGTATATTCGGCCACTGTTTTTGGTAAAACACTGTTAAATAGGAGTTAGCAAAATTGATAAATAATACGCAAAAAAATATTATTTGACATAAGTTACATCATAGTAAAAATTCGATTACATTCATTCGGACTATACCACAGTCGACACTGCAGACTATTAAAGTAAGTTGCGTTTAAAATGAATTTAATTTCTTTTCTGCCAATATCAATAATCTTAATGACGTTGTACAAACACATCAGTTCAGTTAATTTGCATAAATTTGTGCTTAAAAGTCAATTAACCAGTGTACGGTTCTTTTTAACGTCTTCAAAAATTCTTTAATTTAATATTATATCATTTTTGTTCAATACACAAGCAACATAGTTAACTGACTTGTGAACCATTCTGTCTTTCATACTAATATCCTGTTAAAGAGGTCCTATTTGAAGCATTTCATACTCTGAACTTCTCACTTGTGAGATGAATTTGACATATGCTCACATCAGGGTCCTATTCCACAAATTTACAAATGTACAAGACTTGTAATAATTGCAGCATGTTAACTGATTATAAGGAACTTTATCAAATCAAATTTGCTTATAGCTAGTATATCTTGTTATAATTTGTAATTTGAAAAGCTTGCAATAGCTGCAAGCTACAGGGCATAGGCCATAAATAAGAATGATTTCTAAATTAGAAAGGATACCCCTATGGTAAAATATTAATACTTTTATTATTTAATTTTCCAAAATCTGGTGTATAAACTCTGGAAACTCTGGATTTTAATCTACCCCTCGTACAATACTAATATTTTCCTGTGTAGAAATGCAAAATTTATCATTCACCACGTTATTCTCATTGATCTCGTTCACTTCTATTGATATTCTTAATTACAGCATAAATATTTTAGAAAATAGTCATTTTGATAATGGATGAACCAGAAAACAAGTGTGAATTAGTGTGTGAAAGCCGTTCGAAGAAAAATTTGAATGTTGCCTACGTATACGATATAGTGAGACGTATATTGAAAACTTTGGATAATTCCGAAATAGAGAATTGCATGAAAGTTTGTTCATTGTGGAAGGAAATAGGAGAATCCATATTGAGAGGAAGGATAACGATTGCAGTTGAGGTGAGTTATAGTTTAAGATAAGAATAAACAGGTGTAAAATGTGAAAAAATATAATGACTGTGTAAAATGAAACCTGTGTAAAATGTGAAAAAATAGGTATCGTGCGATTCCGGTTTACACAGGTTTTACTGTATTTTTTGATATTGTGATATTTATGATAAGCAATATACAGAGCCGTAACTAGAATTTTGGACGCCTATGGCCAAGAATGAAAATGGCGCCTTTTTAATTTTTATTATTAAAAAAATAATTTTATTCTAAAAAAGGTTATTATAAAACATTATGTAAGAATATTTAAATACTAGATAAATATAAATATAAAAATTTTTTGTGTTATTAATTTTGAATACATATTTGTTTCGAAACCTTCTCATTGGCGCCTTTATTAAATCGGCGCCTATGGTTTGGTCCTCATTGGCCACACCCTAGTTACGGCTCTAATAACATATACTCATGCAGTTGAAGTGTTCATGCAATAGTAAGATTAGTTTTGCCAACATTTGCGATTATGTGTATAATTTTAGTTTCATATGGAATCAAATACATTAGTTTAGTATAGAAAGTTTAGTATAGAAAATAGAAATGCATTTCCTTCTCGTTTGCATCTCGTCGCGAACGATAGCAACGCAAAGAGACGGAGAGACGTGATTGGGCGATAAATCGTTCAATTAATTTTGAATTTTTGTAATGGCATAGGCATGTTGTTCGAATAGGCATGTTGTTAACCTTCTGTTCGAATTAAACTTTCGTGTTACTAAATCTGTGACGAAGTTTTTAGTGACATTCGAGTGATGTTTATAGCAGTGTTTTTCAACCTGTTGGTCGCGACCCCCAGTGGGTCGAAAAGCCTTACACGGGGGATGGCGGGTGAAAGAAAACGACAAGTGTTTGTAGGTACTACACTACAATAAAAAAATCTATAATTTCAGTGAAAAGGCTGTGCCTGTTTATTTTACAGTACAATTGGTTTTTCGATCGATATTTAAAGATAGAAAATTAAATATGTAGTTTTTGAAATCACTGATATAGTTTTAATATGGCCCTGGGGGGTCGCCGGAATTTTTTAACTTGTAAAGGGGTCGCGTATTCAAGAAGGGTGAAAAACACTATGTTAAAGAAATCTGAATTTTCTATAAGATAAAATGCATTTTAAATGTTTAAACGGTAAAATATAAAATCTACGTATGAAAGAAAGATGCTACGTGATACGTATATCATTCCTTTCCTAACGATTATAAAAAAACTTCCACATAGAAATTACAAGAAGTTGAAATTTTTGTGTCTCTCTCCTTGTGCAGAAATTTAAAAAATTGCTACAGAAGGAGAAATGGAGATGGATTACAATCTGAAAAAAACTGTAGACCTATAAATTACCAGTATTACTTGTCTGTCTGCCTGTCCTTTCTTACACTCGAGAACGGAGTTAGACAGATTAACGTCGAGAACATATAATGATAATATAGCAGCAGGAAGCCCCGATTATATTGATACTTGAATGAAAACAGGAGATCACGTTGTTCCAATTGAAAACTTTCCCATGAAAGATGTTAGATACATGAAACTAAAGGGAAAAATTTACGCTACTGCATGACAATGTTGGCGAGAGCGAAAAACTATGGTTGATTTTGTAGAAATCAAAATTAACATTTTCATTAACCTTTCCTTCAAATATTGTTTAATTAGAACTCAACATTTGGAGGAAAGTTTTATGAAAACGTTTACTTGAATTCTGTACTTGAAAATCGAACTTTTAGAAAAGAATTAATGAAATTTGAATGAAAAATTTCCAATTAAATATCTTTTAAAGGTCGATTTTAATTCAATTTAAAGTCGAAGTTTTCTTATATTTTTCTTCTAAAGTTTGACGATACCTATAGCTTTTGCCTTTAAAACTTATTAGAGTTTTCTCCAAATGTTGATTTAGTGATAATACTTCTAAACATTAGCATTTGATCGTGGGTTCGCACCTCAGCAAGGGGCTGGCCACTACTTAACTGAGTATAGTGTTTATAAAGTTTTCATTATTGAAAATACAGGGCGACCTGAAAGTTAATTAACCATTGAAAAGTCAAAATTTTTATTTTATAAAAATGCTTTTATTGTTTACAAATTTTAAATAATTATTGAAACTAATACAGTATATTTATATTGTTCAATACACGAACTGCAAATTCAATTTATTGTGTATATTCACGTGTATAACTGGAATTTACAAAGTAAAACGCGGTTAAATGACTTTTGGGTTACCCTGAACTGTGTTCGAATTTGTATAAACTCTTAAGTGAAATGTTTGTCCTTTTTTCATATGTAGGACTTACCACGTGATATAATTGCAATCACGAACTTTTATCCAGAATATGTTCTTGGCTTCTTCAAAACACAAAATGGCAACATTAACATCTTGACAGGATATAATGGACATTCGGAAGAAAACATGGAAAGGAGTGATGAAACTAAGACAATACGACTTTTATTGCGGTTGGATGCTCGATGTCGTAAGTATCTTATTAAAACTTTAGCAAAATGCCCACCAGTGTCCAATGGTTGGCATATTATTGATGTTTTAATTGAATGCGAGTAGTGGGTTTGTGTGTCACCAATGGCTGAATACGTGGAATGTTTCGGTTTGTCACGTGTCTAATATTCAAATAGCGGCCAGTTTTGTATAGAATGTTCTTCCCGGAAGGCATTTCGAGAAGAACATTTTATTTGTATTGTTATAGATTGGATGAATTTATAAGGATCGTGGCAAGATTCTGTTAATTCTCATTTCCACTATTTCGAGAGAATTCGTTTTGAAAGGTGGATCAAATCGCCAAATCACATCTAGTAACCACACGTGTATTTGCAAATTCTTTGTTATTAATTCAGTTTTCCTGAATGAAGGCGGTACTTGCAATAATTACAAAGAATTATGACACACATTGCAAGAAATCTTTACAGATGCACCGTATCAACATGTTCTGGCTTGGCTCTATTTTTACCGTAAAGAATAACTATCATCACATGTTATAGGTTGAATGTATGAGTTTTTCAGCATTTATTCGTAAGTTCCATTTAAAAATATCAGATTATTCGTTCGGCAATTAAATAAAAAACAAACAAACAAAATCATGGGCATCATCTATTACAGTATACAAATTAATATGAATATCAACTTATAACTTTAACAAAATAATTAGAATTACTTCAGTTATAATAGAAAATTAATTTCATTTGTTAGAAACAAGTGCTCATATGTTGAAGGAACATCGGTCTAATTTTAGGAAAATCCAAGCAGCACAAACCTTAGTTTCACTTCTCTGTGGTTGAGACATCAGTCCCTAGCCTCGCTGACTGACGAATCTCTCGATAGAATATTTAAGTAAATAAGGGCCTACTTGTTTGTGATGGTACTGATTCTAATGTCTGATGGTTCACACAGCCTTTCTTGTAGAAAGTTTTGACTCAGGGCAAGACGAGGCTCTATGACATATCCGGCTATCTACTGGTTAGTTCTGCAAATTCTTCAAGCCTGTTGTGTTTATATGAAGCTGTCATGATTAGTTCAATTTGTCCAAAAGTGTAATTTGTCACTATCTCGGCTCAGTCCCTTTAATTTATCAGTAACACTACAATCGAGAACAAACACTTCATTTATAGTCAGAATATCTATAAATCATTCTGTCGACTTTAAAACATCTGTGAAATCAAGGACTCACCTTGTACGATTATTGCTTTAATAGCATAAAATAACCAACACTTAGGAGGCGATCTGCCAATTGATGATACCACCTGGGAGGACTTTCTACGGGAAACTGGTTTCTATTTAGATGGTACACACGCGAAGGAAAGTACGAAAGCTTCACGTAGCCAGTCCGTTTGTCGAATGGCCAAGCGGTCAAGGGGGCAGCCTACCCCTCTAGGGGACCCTAGTTCGAATCCGAACGAGTCGAAAAATCCCGAGGAATTTTTTGCTGGGTCGTCCGTTCGGATATGTTGGGCCCCGTCCCTCATTAGTTGGCAGCCCCCTTGTGGCCTGGCCGAGCCCATAATAGGCTTGAAAAAAGAGGCCCTCTTTGTGCCCACAGGGCAGAAACAGTTAAAAAATGGTTTGTTGGTCGGGCACGAACTGCAACCTAAAATATTTTAGACTTCTATCACAATGGTAGGTGGATAAAATCATTCAGCCACTGGTGAAGATGTAAGAGAAGTTAATGGAATTTAATTTGAAAACGTAACGTTTTGCAGGTAAAAATAATCATATAAAGGACCGGCGATATTCTCAAAGGCTCATTAAACGTTATTCAAGTCCCTCAAGAAATCTGTTACCAATATGGATCGCTGTTTTTCCTCAACTTCCCGGACTGAAAATAAGTCGTTTTGTGTTTTCAGAAAATGAAATCAAAGAAAAGCTGAAACCTGGTCCCACGTGGTTTACAGAATTGACAGACATTTCTAAAGAAGAAACGAAATGCGTCCTGTGGATTGTGGATGGAATACTGGACGACACCTTCATGAAAGTTATACCACAATGCGCAGTAAGCGGTATATCAGATATTAGTTTATGTCCAGCATACAGATGTATTGTGTTTTCGGGGAGGATGGTACATGCATTATCATTTAATCTGCCAAAAGATCATACATTACAACAAATGAAAGTTATAGAATTGAAGCAATACAACATTGCATGGAACAATTGTATTGTGTTATTTTTCAACAAAAGCTTTATGAATTGGTGCAACGATCGATCAAACTTTTCCGAAATTGAGATTTTTAGTAAAGAATTTCCCAACATTCCGATCTTGTTTTATAGTGGCTGCATACCTTTCGGTGTGGAATACATCCCGAATATTTTTGAAAACACAAGTACTATAGGAGAATGTATAATAAATGCATCAGTTGTTGCAAAAATTGTTATATTGTGGATTGCGTGACTTGTAATTATGTTGTTAAATGAAATTATAAGGTATTTTGTTTAAAAAAATGTGTGCCCCGTATATCACATTTAACTTTTATTTGTTGAAGATCAATTGACATTAAAACTGTATAAAATACGAATGTAATTAAAATTTAAATATGACTTAATAAAACAATTTTTATTCAACAATTTTACTAATGTTTTTTTTCTCTGTTTGCCCTAATGCCCAGCAGTTGCTAAAAACAACTGAACATTAATTCTCGAGTGTTTGCATTTCAACTCGCTGGTCGACTGACTTTTTTGGGTATTCTGTATGTGTGTAACTAACATCCAAATAGGAACCAGGTTCCTGTTGAAAATCTTTCCAAGAGACTCCCATGTGTTGCGATGTCATTCCATAGAACGAAATATGACCGCTGTGCGGACACTAAGAGGAGTTCTTATAGTAAGCCCATTATAATTTCAACCAAGCCCACAGTAGAGTGGTTGGGAGTTGAGGGACATGGAGAGATAATCGGATCGACCACTTCTGAAAAATTCCTGTTATTTTGAGTAGTCCGGATCCGATTCCAGGTCCCTAAGCAGTAAACTGCCATCTTATTTCTTAGTCCATGTGGCTGTCGAACTGTATGTACTAAGAGGGACTATTAATGAAGATCTTTGTACGTTCGGCCAGGAGAACAGATCAGGTAATGAGGGGCGGTGTCTGACAGACCACCGATGAGAACAGTGCTGCTGCTACACCTTCACGATAACTGGCGGCTAATTACAGAACAATTCCATAGTCGTAGTTCTGTTTCTTTTTACTACGAGATGTCGCTACTTTGTGACGTCAGAAAGCTACACAGCATCATTTTAATTTACGGTCGATTGTGACGTCACCGAAATCACGTGACTGAACGCAATCGATGTGAATACACAACAGCCAGAATTAATTTATTAAAAACATAATTTATTACCGTTTGTTTCTTGAAAATCAAATTTGTCTTTTGTCTAATATTCAACGTTTATATTGTAGCTTTAAAAGATGACCATTGTTGATTATATATAATCATCGCTAAACCCGATGTAATATAGTTAATCACCAAACATATGCCGTAAATCCATCGGGCTAGTTTTAAGGCTAATTACTAAATAAATTACGTAATTAATTTGGCACTAGACGTAAGTTACATAGTTATACGCTGGAAGAGGAGATCGGATCGGAGGTCCGGATAGCGTAACTGGCAACGCATCTGCACGGTAAGCAGGAGTTGTGGGTTCGAGTCCCGCTCCGGGCCGATTTTTTCTCCCAGCGGTTCTAAATTATTTAAATTAATTAATTTATTTATAATTATTAATATTAATAAGAGATGGCGCTTAATGCTTACCTCTAGTGCCAAATTAATTACGTAATTTATTTAGTAATTAGCCTTAAAACTAGCCCGATGGATTTACGGCATATGTTTGGTGATTAGCTATATTACATCGGGTTTAGCGATGATTATATATATTACGCCTTGCCGGGGCTTGCGATGGCCGGTTGAGTGCCTTATAGGAGTAGGACGTGGGCACTGAATGTGTCCCCAGCCGGCATTGTAATAACCGTCGATGGTTACATAGTTATACGCTGGAAGAGGAGATCGGATCGGAGGTCCGGATAGCGTAACTGGCAACGCATCTGCACGGTAAGCAGGAGTT